ACACTGTTCTAGTTAAAGCACTAGAATAAGATTTATACAATTTTTCATGAGACTGCCGTATTTTCAGCATACAAAGGATAAAATACTCATTCACTTCAGGATAAATTGACAGATTGGTCCATTAAACTCAAAGTATGATAATATTTTATTGGAAACATTATAAAATAAAAAAGAAAATCAGTCATCCGTCCAGTCATTTGTGAAATGCTTTCGTGCGAAAGTAGTCTGATGTGTTGCATTGTGCTATCATGACTGTTCAACCTCATACCGTATCAAAAGGCGGCTATACCATTTACACTAGATTTAATCCATTTCATACCTATGCGGATTGATTTTTTCGCTATCGAACCAGACAAGCCCATACAGCCATAATTTTTACAGTAAAAATGGAGCAAAAAAGTATGTATATATCTCGATCAGGTAAATATTAGGACCTTTTATCGAGCATCATCAAGGTTTGATGAACAGAATCTTAATCATCCTAAACCTGTCAAATTATCAACAAAAAAAAAACATTTTTTCCGATTCTGTGAAGCGATAAACCATGTCACTGTAGGCATTTGCCTCGAGGCAGAATGCCTCCGTACCACTTACTATACTGACGCGAATTCTCCGGCGTCGATGGGTATAAACCTACTTAGCTGGTGATCCGAATTATTTGCTTGTCAGTGGAAGAGAAAAGCTTGAAGCCATGTCGGGACAAATTTGTTAGAACGTTTCCCCATCCGCGCAAATTATATATGATCGATTTCGCCGATTAACGCCAGATTTTATTGCTTTTCTCCCGCCTCTTTCTATTAAAATAATGAGTCATGTTTCACCATGCCCAGGCTGTTTTGATGAAAATTACAGGTTTTCTCTGAACCTACCGACGACAGATCCAATTAAAGTTTGTTTGGTGACAGGTGTTTAATTTTCCCATAAGGTCTATTTGGGGACATGGATCGTTCAGGGACATTGGAGTAACTTTCCTATTAGATGCACAGACAGCCGCATGTTATGATGGGAATCAAATTATCTCTTCCTGCCAAGTCTATATACAGAAACGCCAGTCAATAGAACCCTCTTTTGTCTCGCCCTCTCAATATGTGTGAAGACAGGTAAGATGCAGAGGTTAAAGGGTCTCTTTCATACGGTGTTTCTTATAAGAAGACATTATGGATAGATAATATCCATATTTAAACAATCGAACATGAACTTTTTTCAATAAATGACTGCAGCGCTTTTATTTCAGCACATGCTTGGGTATACATGGAGGCCGGCAAATCTGGAGGAGAACAAAAAACCTAGAAAATAATAGCTAGGAAGAACCACCACCCACGGGAAGCCATCGGCAAGTTTTTCCACATACCCACTTTGGCCTTCCCTGAAACGCGAACCCAAATAGATAGAGGTGAGATGTCAGTGATCTGTAAACGAGAACACCTTAGATAACTCGGCCATCTGGAGTACCGCTCAATTCAACATATAATATATCAAGTCATCAAACATTAGGGCGCATTGAAACGTCAAGAAAACAACAAAAATGACAAAAATAATAACGTATTAAAAATACTCTCCAATTAATGGAAGCATGTTATATTTCCATCAGGTATTTACTTCTATTAATTGGTTCAGTGGCAATTTGAAATATTTCAACTGTCTTAATGGAGACATAGTTTGGTGACGAATCTGAGCACTGTGCCATCCGATAGGTGTTAGGCGTCATTTTCCTCTCAAGTTTGACGTGATTTGAACGGAATTTCGATAACCCATGACCTCACGTGAATGTACGCGGTTAACAGCCTGTAAACAACAGATTCTGATCTGCCATAGCATTATGTGCCTGCAGATCCGGGTATAGGCTCTTTGTTCTACTGATTACTCCTATAAAACTGCACAAACCCCAATCTGCCTGCGCATATTGCGATGACAAATCAGGGTCAATGCAGTTTTCTGTTGGTCTTGGTTTATAATCTAGTATAGACGGTAAACATCATTGTGGTTGTGACCATCATGACATTGCAACACTGCTGATTTTGTCATAATCTGGTGGGCTTTAATTCATTATGCACATTATATGTATATAACAATTTCCAAGAGTTCATAATTGTTCTGTGTTCTCTTTGCAGTTCAATAGTTTTAAAGTAACTTCATTTCAAACACTTTGAATTTAATGCTGTTACTCAAAGCTGTCAGTGTGGTCTCAATGCATTTGCCAGTATTTGACTGTTATTGAAATTTTTTGCATTAGTAAATGCACATTTTGACGAACAAAAACAAATTTCATTCATTTATTTTGTATCCGAATTTTCTGGGTATTAAAAAATTAATTTTATGTTTATAATCTGGATTTAATTTTTTTTAATCTTTTCAGCAACTTAATATGTTTGTTGACTATTTAAATAACCCAAGATGGTTGTTTTCGTTAGGTTTTTTAGTTTATTCATAGTTAATCAATCTTTTAATATGCTTTGTTCGTTTTTATCGAACAGTTTATAGAACAGTTGTTTTGTTTGGTGTTTTCAATTTCTGTTTCGTGGAATCAATTTCATATCCTGTTAGTTTAATAATGGGTATCTAGCATATTTATATTAACCGTATTCAAGTCTATTTGAGTCCATTGGTACCATTAGCCCTTTTAAAAATTGAATATAGTTCCATGTATGTATGTATGTATGTATGTATGTATGTATGTATGTATGTATGTATGTATGTATGTATGTATGTATGTATGTATGTATGTATGTATGTATGTATGTATGTATGTATGTATGTATGTATGTATGTATGTATGTATGTATGTATGTATGTATGTATGTATGTATGTATGTATGTATGTATGTATGTATGTATGTATGTATGTATGTATGTATGCATGCATGCATGCATGCATGCATGCATGCATGTATGCATGTATGTATATATGTATGTATATATATATATATATATATATATATATATATATATATATATATATATATATATATATATATATATATATATATATATATTGGAGAATTTGAGAGTGAAATAAAAACTCTGCTCACAGAAGCTATCTTTTTTTTCTTGTCTATACTTTAAACCACATTCTTCGACAAATTCTACGTGATGTTGCATCATTATATTTTGTTTGCTTTAGAAGTTTGCTCTGTATATCAACTTAGTGCTTTGATAGTTGATTTGGTAAGGTATCCTTGCAAATTCGTGCGAGTTAATTTATAAAGCTAGTTATGGTATTGTAGTTTTATGTTGCTATCCTACCAAAGTATAATGCTATTTTCTTAAACAAACAAGAACATATTTGTCTATTTTATTTAGATTTCCCTTACAAGTTGCAAAAACAGGTTCTGATTTTTACTCACTTCAGATGGAAAAAGAGATTAACTCTCGTGCGAGCTTTTTTTATATCAGTCCTTGTTTTAACATACTAAATTACTTTCTCTTCATTTATATATTTGCAAGAGCCATTTTCTGGCAGTAAAACGCTCGTTTGAGGATCTTTCTATATCTGTACTTATTCCACATAACTTCAACTATTAAGTTATATATATATATATATATATATATATATATATATATATATATATATAAAAATATATAAATATATATATATGTGTATATATATATATACACATATATACATATATACATATATATGTATGTATGTATGTATGTATGTATGTATGTATGTATGTATGTATGTATGTATGTATGTATGTATGTATGTATGTATGTATGTATGTCTGTCTGTCTGTCTGTCTGTCTGTCTGTCTGTCTGTATGTATGTATGTATGTATGTATGTATGTATGTATGTATGTATGTATGTATGTATGTATGTATGTATGTATGTATGTATGTGCGTGCGTGCGTGCGTATTTATGTATGTATGTATGTGTGTGTGTGCGTGTATGGGTAGTGTAAGGAAATGTTTACATTTACCTTGAGTAAATGTTTTAGAAAGCGAAGGGTGTTTATATACATTTTCCTTTTCACTATTCTATGTATCTAATATAGGTCATAAATTGAAAACGAGGGGGGATATTGGACCTGATAATATTATATATTTATTTATTTTTTTGCATTTTGAAGTACTTAAATCACTCTGTTCATGAATTTGTTTGTATTCTTACGGCTTATAAATGCTTGTTAAATGCACGATTCAGTTTCATTTGACATGGATTGAAACAACGTTTACTGCTAAACATTTGGGAGTTTAGCACATTTTTGTCCCCTTAAACAATGTACCTCATTTATTTTGGACACTATACTAGTTCCCAAGACATGTATTACTTTGGATACTTGTTTTCGTTATTACAGCGAGGAAGAACTTCGGGATTACAGCTCTTTGTTATATATATATATATATATATATATATATATATATATATATATATATATATATATATATATATATATATATATATATATATATATATATATATATAACCTGAGACTTTTTTCAATAGAAGGTGATAATATGTCATCTTTATAAAAGGTGAACTATCTTCAGCCTACAATAGACATTGGACACAAAAGAATGGTTCGTATTTCACGTAATTGACTGATCTAGGAATGACTTATGGTCCTCTCATATTAACCTTTGTTGCCGTTTGTTAGTTACCCTTGTTGGCGGTTTGAAACTTACATTGGACACAAGAGTGTCAAATCTTCTCTTATAGTTCTGACAATGCTTCCATAAGTCCAGCAAAAGCATTTATTTGGCTACTCTTTCATCGACGAAAGTTGGTACATGAATATGGAAATGGGAATGTATATACTAATTTTGTTTATAGCGCAATAATTCAGTAATTTTGTTTTATGACCATGAAACCATTGCTCTTTCTGCAACAGAGAATGCGAATCGCACATGTCGCTGTAAATTAAATTTAAAGAGCTTTGAAGAAAGAAATTTGCAGAACTTTGACGATATAATTTTGCAGAAGTTTTCAAAGCATCACTATAAACTGTCACACTGACAATCTGTTAAAGTTACGTTAAAAATCCAAATCACCACTCCGGTGGCCTAGCGGTTAGAGCGTCCGCATAGGATGCGGGAGGTCGTGGATTCGATCCCCGGTCAGGTCATACCAAAGACTTACATAAAAAGTACTAACAGCTGCCTCTCGACTCTCAGTAGTAAGAGGTTAGTGTTAGGACTGGTCGGCCTGGCGTCAGGATAATGTGACTGGGTGGGACATCATGCTACATGTCTGCGGCAAGATGTCCCAGTGCTAGACTTCACTATAAACTGCCACACTGCAGACATCGTAGCGATATGACTGAAAAATTGTTAAAGTTACGTTAAAAATTATAAACACACCACCATAAAATCCAAATCACACACATATACACACATTGTTCTTTCTACAACAAAAAGTGAATCGCACATGCAGCTGTAAATTAAATTTAAAAACCTTTGACGATAAAAATCTGCAGAATTTTAACAATATAATTTGAATAATTTTTCAATCATCAATATAATCTGCCACACTGCAAAATTGTTAAAGCTACGTTGAAAATCCGAATCACTCACACACACACACACACACAAACACACACACACACACACACACACACACAATTGCTTTATTAGAAACGAAATGTTATTTCAGATTACTGTTGAACGAGGAAGATATTCGATAATTTCGGGAATAATTTCGTACGAAAGTTCCATTATTATTTTAGTTAACCATTCATGCTCACATGGGTCTAATTATTAAATATGCATTATTGTAGCACGCATTTAATATGTCAATTATGGTAACACAAATTTAATATGTCGTTTATGGTAACACGCATTTAATATGTCAATTATGGTAGCACGCATTTAATATGTCAGACTTGTGCATACAATCTTGAAGAAATGAAGCATACATAAATTCCAGAAAACAACAACACGCGGATAAGTTTGTTAACGAAATAAAATAAATTTTATGAAATATCAAAACAATTATTTAACTCCAGAATCGTCTGGTTATCTCATAAAGATGTGAATTTACTTCATTATAAATATATAAAAAGCAGAAAAATCTAGGTTCTATTAGCTTTAACTTATTTGATGAAACAATCTAAAATATATAAACTTCAATCAATGCTTTGTATATGTATATAAACGGTATATCCATTTCATATTGCTTTTAAATTAGAATTTTAAAAAAAAAGAAACATTACGATAATCACATAAGCATCAACGTTCCGTCATCTGTCTGAACTAGTCGAATGGAAATCTGACGTTGTATTTTACTAACTTGGTTTCATTCAGAAACAACTGAAAAAGCAGCTGAACAGTCGTAAGCAGCTTTACAAATTTCATGTAGGAAGGGTGCGGAAAATCGTACTTTGCGAAACCCACGCAGTTAAGGCGACAAATTATTTTAAATAGACCCTTCATATTTATATGCTGAACCTATTGGTATATAGTTTGCTTACTTTGCTCGAGGCCGTTAGAAACCAGATGGAGAACGACTAAAGAGGTTGCTAATCGTTCCCTGCTGTGATAGTTCCTTACTTTATAGAGGTAGAACAGCATTTTTAGAGATGGTAAACCTTTTCTTGTAAACATGCTTTGCAGTGGCGTAGCAAAAAATTCTACCCCACACGCAAAATTCAGTCCTCTGGCTTCCTCCCAATTAAACAATTTATTTGAGCCCCCACTGGACCTCGGCCTGCTCCACCCCTCCATGAGTTTTACTTATGTGGTTGCTGGCCATTGAGGAATTGTAATGTACCAGGTACCATCGGGTGTGAATCCTGATTATTTGGTGTTAACAAAATTTAAGTCCATTGGTTGTATCATGAAGGTTGAATGTAGAAACCTTGAAAGTAGTTCCTTTCAAGTGTGATGAAAAAACTTTTAATTTTCTACCAGGATTCTACTCATCAGATCTAGGTAGCTAAGAATGTGCTTGAGTTCGTCTATCTTGAAAATGGAAGTATTAGCAAATTATCACAAGTGCATTTTATAACGAATTATCACGTTTTTGATCATGACAGTCACCATTAATCTGAAGAAGAAAAAAAAACGCAATGTTATGTAATTACGATGGAAACTAACCGACCTCCAGGGAACTGATCGGTTTCAAAAAAGTCTTGTAAGTTTAATCAAAATCGACTGCAGACAAATAAATACCTATTGAAGCCAAGGCTGCCAGTCACGATTCTCATTAACTAGAATGAGTCAAGTTTTTCTCACAGTATCAATCGCTGCAGAATCATTGTCACTGGAATGCTTAGCGATGAAATTGTGATATTCGAGACAACGAAAGCCTCTGGAATCTGCCCTATAATAAAATTAGTATCATTTGGAAACCTGTACAAAAGAACGATAATTGATATGAATTTATTAGGCACTTCACTATTACTTTCTTCATGAATAGGGCACAATATCCTATCTCGTATATACTCAAATGGGAACATTTCCACAATAGGCCGGACAATTTACGATATATAATAGCTTGTTAAGACGTAAACGAAATAACATAAAATTGTCCAGACTGTATTTGTTGCGCGAGGGGCGTATAAATCAACCTCTATTGGAAGTTGAATAATTAAAATTACCGAGGAAGAAGATTTTTCAATTCAGATACTATTAAAATATTCACCATATTGCTTCATTTTAAATTTTTTTTCACGTGTTGCGATACAAAGAAGAAAAACAAATCTAAAACTAAACAAGCCGATCTACGTTGGAGCTTCAGTGTTAGATTTATCAAAGTGGCTGGTGTACGATTTTCATTATAATTTTGTTAAAAATCAATGGCCGGCTAGTAGATTATTATTTACTGATAGTGATTCGCTCGTATATGAAATCGAATGCGAGGACATCTATCAGGACATGCATGATAATAGATATCTGTTTGATCTTTCTGATTACCCACGTGACAGTAAATTTCATGACGACACAAATAAAAAGGTTATTGGTAAGTTCAAAGATGAAATGAACTCCAGCGCTATCAAATACTTTATCGGATTACGTAGTAAAATGTATGCCGTATTGTTAGACAATAATAAAATAACAAAAAAGCAAAAGGTCTGCCTCGTGATTTTGTTAAAAAGTTTATAAAATTTGATGACTACAAGTACGCGCTTGATGGCGGTGTTAGTTTTATAAGAGCTATGTCAATTCGGACAAATCATCATAAGCTCGAAACAGATGTCCTTATCAAACGCGGTTTGAGCAATTTTGATGATAAACGTTATTGCGAAAATGGGGTAGATACATTTGCACTTGGGTATTGTCATGATGATAGAGATATATTTGACATTATCTTTGCAAACTAAAATTTTATCTAAACTTTAAAAATAATGTTTGAAAATTTGACAGTAACAAATAGCTACAGTAGCAAAATCAAATATCTAATGATGGACGGCAAACCATTGACAGTTGAAATTAATAATGAAACATCAGGCATATGCTTTAGTAGTACCCGTGACAAGTTAAAACTTTCGCTCATCAGATCTGATAACAGCGAGTATTTTAATTATCTCGAACAATTGTATCAAAAGTTGCTAGCGGAATTTAACAACTTTCACTGTCCGATTAGTCAGCATAAATACACGAAACTTACAATTGATCTTGATCGGTCAAGGTTGTATTTTATCGACAAAAAATACCCTCTTAACAAATCACAAATAAAAGATTTGTTTGAGTCCCGTCGTTCGGTAAAATAAAGTTTAGCCTCTATCACCATGATAATGAAATATTTTTGATATCTACAGTTGAGACATTAACAGTTGGTAATGAGGTATAAAATAATATCATTTTCATTCTAATGCTAGTTTAATTTCCGTCTTGTTAACTGAAACGTTCTAATGCACAGTTTAATTTTCATCCTGTTATCTGATAAAAAATTTGTGGTAAAACCTATTTGCCGTCTTTAGAATAATCATATTCCACACATACGCTGTTCTAACAAATTCGTCACTTCTGTTGACAGAGCTTATCGCATTCCAACACCTGTTGTTTTGTCTGGTTACAAAATACCTGTCTACATAGTAGTAGTAGGGGAAAATGAGGATTTCATCACACTTTATTTTTTTACCCTCCAAACAAGTATAAATTATAGTCCTAAATTATCCCTCACCCCTTTTTCCAAAATAGTGAAATGAGGGTTTTGGCCCACCACCACCACCCCCCACCACCACCCCCTCCCCCACCCCCGCCAAACCCTCATTTCACTATTTTAGAAAAAGGGGTGGGGGATAATTTAGGACTATAATTTATACTTGTTTGGAGGGTAAAAAAAATAAAGTGGGCCGAAACCCTCATTTTCCCCTACTACTACACCCTACTACTTTCCTTTAGTTTGATTCAAAGAGAAAGAATTGTAACGTTTATATCATTTGCTTGTGAAACTTTATTATTTTAAAAATTGATTAAATTTTGTCTTCATTTGTAACGGGGTCTCGTGTTATTCTATTCTATATCAGCTCAGACTACTTATTTATTCCACCCATAAGTTCATACTTTGTATTGACCTTAATCGATACCGGGCCAATTACACCGTTGGCGAAAGTCAAAACCAGTAAACCCATCACAAATAAGTTGTGGAGGGGTTTGCAACATATTTATTTATTTATTTACTTATGTGTATATTTCTCACAAAGGTATGTTTTGCTATATTTTATTTTGATTTTTTATCTACAAATTGATAGTTAGTGCGTGAATTTCAAACGATTAACAAAAGCTAATCTAAATTATGCTATATTTCATTTTTCATTGAGTAAATAACCTTATTATACCTAATGCATTAGCATACGTCAGAGTTGCTAAGATTTCTACTACAGAGAGTGTGAATGAACTTACTGACTTTAAGTTTCATTTCATGCACTAAGCATTTATATCAAACATCAAACCTTCTCGTCTTGACACCTCAAAACACCGTATACATGTTTCGCTACCAACACATATAACAGGTCGTACCGTATTTACCTATCTTAAGGGGAATTGTAATTTCCGCCTAACTTTTTCAAACATATTGATGTAGATGTTGTTTGTTTTGTGAGCTCAATGGTGTTCGATAATGTTATTGAGGTTTTCTAGCACGTGTTTCATATGAAATCATATGAATATATGCATTATGGTATTGTC